GCAGAAATGGTTCGAAAAGTGAAGAAGCGACTTGATCAAAAACCGCGTCGCAGTGCCGAAAAATGGCTCGTGAACTGAACATATCGTAATATACCATTCGGCAAATATTAAAAAATGAGCTCGGGGTAAAGCCATTGAAATTCCAAAAAGTGCAAGAACTTACACTGCAACAGAAAGAAAATAGACCCAAAGAACTAAAGAGTTGCTTCGCTTGGTCGAAAGAGGTGAACTGCCGAATTTGCTTTTCTCCGATGAGAAAACATTCGTTGTCCAGCAGTTTGTAAACAAACAAAATTATCGTGTTTACTTGCCAAAGAGGTCAGCTGAAAATGTGCACCGCAGACTTTGGACATTCCAATAGGACTCAGAACCATTGCACTCAGAACGCGCCACACAAGAATGGTTAAAAAATGAGGTTCCTCGCTTAATTTTCAGTGCACAATGGCCACCAAAATCTCCGGATACCAATCCGTTGGACTATTGTGTCTGGAGTATTTTGGAAAGCAAGGTTGGCACTAAAAAATACCCAAGTGTCGATCGACTCAAGTAGACGTTTCGCCGGAATTGGGCCAAAATACAAAAGTGCGACGGTTTCATTGGCCGTTTGAAGGCCACAATTCGTGCCAAAGGAGAACTTATTCAAAAATTTGATGCTATTTCCGACATTTTTTGCTTTTATTCAATAGAATTTAAAAAAAAAAATAAAAATAATGGCATTTGACTTTGTTACAATTTTTTATCTCACCCTGTACATATGAATTCCTAAGGGTTAGATAAGATTTAGACTCTTGGCGTGTTCTAGGACTTATAGTAGAATCTTATGACCAATGATTTTTTTTTATTTTACGAATCCGTATTAAGGGTATTTTTAGTCAAATTTGTAAAAAGAACAAAAAAACCCCACAGTGACTCTCAATCGAGTCGAATTTTGAACGAAGTATTTATCGTATTTTTATCTGCAAATTTACCGATGAAGTGATATATCTAAAACGTACGGAATTCGAAGAATCGTAATACGAAAATTTCTAAAAGTGTGGAAGAGGAGGAATTGCCCCCTCCACTTTTCGATGTAATCTTTCTAAACGCCCATATCTACTTTTGTCTACAATTGTTTTATAATAATTACACTACATTAAATTACATTATAATTAATTACACAAAATAATAATTTCCTTAAAGTATTGCATATATTTAGGCGCATTTGAGGGTATGTTATAATCATTTTATAAAATATTTATATGTTCCATGCATCTTTTAAAAGAATTTCCGAAATTAAAATAATTTAACAAACGTTTCTAAAGATCGGAATAAAGGCAATTTTATTTCCAATTTAATCCGACCTTCTGTTTAAATATATTTTTTCTTTAATGACATTCGAACGGGGAAAAAACTAAAGAATAATATGAAAACATCAGGCTTATCAGAGCCCTGCTGCTGTTGTTTTTTTTTTTTTTTTTTTTTTTTTTTTGTAACAATTTAATCAGAACATATGGGATTCATTCCATTTTAAATGGGGTGCAAAATTATTGTTACTGCATTATTTTTTGTAAAATTTGGAAGTAGTCGAGTTTGGCATTTTATGAGGTTTTAGCTTTAGGTTTTGATCTCTAGATTTGCATTAGATAATTATGAAGAGAGAGTTGAAGTATGTAGTGGCGTCTCAACATGCATCTCACAACTAACAATTCTGGCAATTAAAATCGCCTAATGTAGTAATTTAATGGCCAATTTCATTCTTTAAATAGTTCTCGACAGAATTAAGGTCGATTATCGATAGTAGTAACTTTTAAACTACTTATAATTCTAGTTAATGCCCGATTACACATGATGTTAGTCATATGTAAAGAGACTTTTTCACATTTCATATCCTACAATTATACAGCATACTTTGAGGAGCTCCTAAAAATGTTTTCAACTTAAAAATAACTTTAACTACCCTTGTATTTTATACATTCTATACTTGAAGTACAACTATTAATGTTAACTATAAATCGTTTCTATTACCAATTGCTTCTATCGAGAAACATTTTTGGAAGCGACTAAAAGTAGGCCATAACAAGTTAAAAAGTATCAATCGGTTTTGCCGACAGATGTATACCCTCAGCCAAACTTCGGTTATTAAAATATATTTTGACTTATGTTATGATTATTCAAATCGTTGACTTGTTTCGCAGTTATGACAGATAAAAAGTATCGAAAACTGTGACCCGTTGTGGGTGAGGTACCAGAAGGGGTTCGCAGATATATATCATCTTCACAACATACATATCTTGTGTTAGCAAAAATCTTTGTATATGTGAAATTTGAAGAGAGTTGGATGCTTATTTCGCTTTCTTTGAACGTTTTGGTTTTTAAAATCTTGAACCCTATGTGGGGGTGGTACCAGAAAAAATGGTCCCATCTCTAACATCTTTATAACAGATCTGGTATGGAAAGAAATATTGAGATGTGCCAAGTCTAATTGGAATCAAATGATAATTTCGCGTTCTATAAGCTCCAGGGATATTTAAAATTTTGAACCTTTGTGGGGGAGGTACCAGAAGGAGCGGACCGATATATTCCATCTTCACAGAAGATGTCGCCTTAGTAGAACCAATGGGATGTGTGAAATATTAGGGGAAACGAATGTTTTTTTCGGATGTTATGTTAGTTTTGGTTATTTAAAACTTTGATCCTTTGTGGGGGAGGTACCAAAAGCAACGGTCCGATCTCTTCCATATTTATTTATGTGTTGACGGAAATATTGAGACATTCCAACTCTGTATGGAATCAGATGTTAACTTCAATAATTTGAGCTTCATGGATATTCAAAGTTTTGAACCTTTGTGGGGGAGGCAACAGAAGGAAATGACCGATACATCCCATATTTATAATAAATCTTGCGTTGATGGAAGTATTGAAATGTACCAAATCTGAATGGATTCGGTTGTTTATATCCCGTTTTATGAGCTTCATGGATATTAAAAATGTTGATCCTTTTTGGAGGAGGTACTAGAAGGAGCGGACCGATATATTCTATCTTTAGAGAAGATCTGGCGTTAGTAGAACCAATTGGATGTGTGAAATATGAAGAGAACCGGGTGTTTTTTTATTTTTTATTTTTTTTTTGTTATTCAATACTTAAACCCTTTGTGGGGGAGGTATCAGAAGGAATGGTCCGATCACTTCCATATTTATAACAGATGTTGCGTTGATGGAAATATTGAGACCTTTTATCAAAGCAGATCTAGTGTTAGTAGAAATAATGGAGTGTGTGAGATATTAAAAGAACCGGGTGCTTTTTTCGAATTTTATGATCGAAACTTTGAAACTTCGTGGGGGAGTTACCAGAAGAAATGGCCCGATCTCTACCATCTTTATAACAGATTTTTTGTTTATGGAAATATTGAGATGTGCCAAGTATGAATGGAATCAGATGGTAATTTTATGGATATTCAAAATGTTTACCCTTTGTGGGGGAGGTACTAGAGGGAGTGAACTGATATATCCCATCTTCACACCAGATCTTGCGTTATTAGCAAAAAATCGATGTGTGAAATATTAAGCGAAACGGATGCTTATACATCGGATTTTATGATCGTTTTGGTTATTCAAATTTTTTGATCCTTTGTGGGAAAGGTACCAGAAGGAATGGTCCAATCTCTACCATCTTTATTAAACATCTTATGTTGATAAAAGTATTGCAATGTCCCAAGTCTAAGTGGAATCGGAGATTAGTTTAACGTTTTATGAGCTTCATGAATATTCATTTGAACCTTTGTGTGGGAGGTACCAGAAGGTGTGGCAAATCGGAGTCTTTAATTACATTTTATTAGAGTTGTAATTTATCAAAATTTTAACGCTTTGGGGAGGAGGTACTTGATGGAGTGGACCAATATTGTTCATTTTCGCACCTGGAGCAGAATCGGTTTATCTTTTCTCCTTATGTGCAGTAAAATATGTATATATATATATATATATATATTTTTTTTTTTTTTTTTGAAAATTTATACCGTTTGTGGGGGAGGTACCAGAAGAAGTGGATCGATATTGCCCATCTCCGAAATAGATCTAAGTTTGATAGTAATATTACAATGTACCAAGTTCAGACTAAATTGGATACTCCCTACAAGAGTTATAGTGCCAGCCAGACAGACGGACTTACATAGCTAGATCGACTCCAAATGTCCTGAAACGGATTTGGTCCAAAGAGACCTAGGTTCTAAGACCGTTATTTCCTAAATGATATATACTCTCTCTAGCCATATGGCTGATAGTAAAAAATATATACATATTTTACATATTACTCTAACACCATTTATAATCTGAGCTTTACTAAGGACATTTGACGGTAATTTAGCTACGAATATAAATTAGCTGCTAAGGCCTACCTATGGAAACAATGTTGTCAACTTTTAACTCTCTTTTTACATAAAATGTTTTTTTTTTCGTCGCTAACTTACCGACAAATTTTGTTAATTACCGAAATTATAAGCAACTGAAATAATTCAGCTATCGATAAATGTTCTTGATTCTACCGTTAACTGGTTAGAGAATTGCACTAGTGAAACCCAATTTTTGATCCCATAAGTGCAGATTCCCATGGAATGATCTGTAGTGAGTGAGCAGGGACTCTTGTAAGCCAACGTTTTTCTTTTCTTAAATATATTTTCTAAAGAATACTCTTTTGGGATTTGTTAACATAATTATCTTTTTTTTTTTTTTTTTTTGTTCGTTTCTCATCACACACAACTTCATGCATAAAAAATAATTCATTAATTAAGGAGGGGGCCAAAATTGTAATCAACCACATTTGGAAACAAATTATTTTTCTTAATTACAATCATCGCAAAGATCACCATACAAATCATACAAAAATTAAATAAGAAAATTTTGAACTAGAATTCATTAAAAATGTACATTCTCATACTTATCCTGGTGCTTATGCTTTTGCCATGGCACATTTGCATTTCAAGAGCTTTTTTGAAATGTTGTTTGCCATCGAAAAATCTAGTACTTGCCTTTATTAAAAACGATATTGTTATAAATATCGAGAATATGAACATGCCACCCAAGCCATACAGGTGAAGAGTACGGCGACCGGTTCGATCCATCAGAGGTATAGAAACTAATGTCATCGCCACCTGGTAGAGATTAAAAATGTTGGGAGGATATGTGATTAATATAAGAAAAAAATTATAATATTCCAAAAAAAAAAAAAAAACATTTGCGTTGCATACACACGTCGGATAAATACAATCCCATGTTTGATTTAGAAAAAAAATTGAACATATTTCAAGAACATCAATAATTTTATGCTGGAATACAATTCAAATCAAACAATTAAAAAGGCATCAGTTGGTTTTGCCGACAGATATGTACCTTCAGCCAATGTTCGTTAAGATTATCGCTAAGATTATTTAAAATGTTGACCATTTTAAGGATAGCTTCGGAAGAAGTGGGCGAGTGTTGCCTATTTTGCATCAAATATAGGTCTGATTAAATATTACAACGTGTTAGATTTGGCACCACTTCTCCCTTTACTTCATATAAGATATTTGATAATTTTTGGGAAATTTCGGGGAAGTGGCAGAAAGAGTGGACCGACATATCCCAACTTCACACCAGATCTTGTGTTGATAGAAATACTGGAATGTGCCAAGTTTGAAAATAATCGGATGCTCATCCCACGATTTATGAGCTTCATGGCTATTCAAAATTTTGACCCGTTGTGGGAGAAGTACCAGAAGGTACCAGATCTTGTGTTGATCGAAATATTGGGATGTGTGAAATTTATAAAAACAAATTTAAATCGGGTATTTATTACAGATTTCATGAATATTCATGATACAATTATTCAACATTTTGAATAATCTGGAGGAACCAGAAGCAGTAGCCCAACATATTCCATCTTCACACCTAATCCTATACAAATATTTGAAATGCGCTGAGTTTGAAAGGAATCGGATGCATATTTCGCATTTTATGAGATACATAATGATTCCAAATTTGACCCGTTGACGATCTATCCCATCTTCAAACCAAATCTTTTTTAATGAAAAATATGGGGAAAAATGAAATTCAAAGAGAATGGAGTGCTTATTTCACATTTTATGATAGATAATTTATTTAAAATGCTGACCCGTTGTGGGGAGAAGTACCAGAAGGGGTGGACCGATATATACCATCTACACACCAGATCTTGTGTTCATAGAAATACTGTGATGTGTGAAAGAAGGTAAATAGATGTGCTTATTTTGCATTTCATGGGATATATAATTATTCCGAATATTGACCCCTTGTGGGGAGGTACCAGAAAGGGTTGCCCAACATATTCCATCTTCACATTAGATCTTGTGTTTGTAAAAATATTAGGATCTGTGAAATTTGAGGACAATCGGACTATTTTTCACATTTTATAAGAATTATAATTATTCCAAATTTTGACCCGATATTGTCCATATTCGCAACTGACCTAGCATTGATGCAGATATTTGGATTTGCAGAGTTTTCCCAAAATTGGATGATCCTTACTTGTTCTATTAGGCAAATTATTTTTTTTATGAAAATTTCGATATTTTGTGGGGGAGGTACCAGAAGAAGCGGACCGATATTGCCAATCTCCGATTTATGTTCCATAAAAATATGCACTAAGTATAAAATCGTATTCTCCCTTCGAGAGTTATAGTGCACACCCATACTGCCAGACAGATAGAAAATCGGATGGGGCTGATGGCAAGAGACCTTGTGTTCAAAACAGTGACTTCGATGAGGCATATTCTGGCCATTTCTGATGATACATAATGTGGTGTCCGTTGGAATTGTAATTTTCGAATTTCGAAAGAAGGATAATCGTGCTGAATTGTACTAGGTTTGTGCTCAATTGTGCCGAATTTTTTCGAAACTAGAAAAAATTTTGAGTTATTCGAAAAAAGATTTTTTTATTTAAAAAAAATATAAATAAGCTCAATTTACCTCATCTCAATATTTGATTTTTACAAAAACTACAGCGATTTTTTGAAAAATACTGGCTTTTTCGAAATTGTCATATCTCGAAAACGGTTAAAGATTTTGAGAAAAAAAATAAACGGCACAAAACAGCAAAACTGTTATTTTTTCGAATTTCGAAAATTGCAATTCTGGTATACTTCCGAAATTATCGTTTTTTCGAATTTTGTAAATTTTAACGTCTCAGATTTTTTTTCGAATTTCTAGAAAAAATCGGCACAATTGAGCACAAACCTAGCACAATTCAGCACAATTTTCTTGCTAATTTTTCGATGTTCGAAAATTGCAATTTTGGCATACTTTCGAATTACCGTTTTTTCGAATTTGGTAAGCGATATCGAAAAAATTTTAATGGCACGAAATGAATACAATTCAGGGCAACTTAATTTTTTTTCGAAAAACTGTATTTGATGATTTTTGAAAAAATATTCCTTAAATTCCTTCAAACTCTCGTACAATCCTTTGTTACTTTCAGTGGCCGAAATAACATAACCATTCAGTATTTGTTTTCAAAAAGGACCTTTCTCCCGCAATTATTGAAATTAAGTTCAAATTCTTCCTTAAAATAATATTTTCTTATTTCTAGAAACTTTTGTCAAACATTGCATCCCAGCATTATATTGAAATAATGTTCAATTTTTTGCTTCGATCAAAACGGCAAGGAATTGTAAGTCGCTTTGTTTTTAAACCATATTCGAGTAGATTGGAATTGAAATTCATTGTTCGCCAAGGTTGTCGCCGTCGTCGTTCACCCCACATCACGACACATCACATGAAACGAAGACATGTATACACAATGAAATTTCCACAAATCGCTCGAAATTGACGATTCATTCGATATCTTGGCCATTCGGGAGAGGCGAAGTAATTTTGATTTTCTCTCTCTCTCATTCTCTCTTTTTTCAGGGTTTTCTCATTAAAATCGAAGGCAATGCGTTGTCCATTACTCACCATGATAGCACCAATGCCTATTGTCGCAAATTTGGCGCTTTCTTCCGATAGCCCCGAACTAACGAACAGTGATGTTGAGTAATAGAAAACAGCATTGATACCACTGAATTGTTGCGATAGCTGCATGACAATGCCAATGATCAGAGGGGCTCTGAGTGTGGGCGAACATATCAGTTCCATTGTGGATATATGACTTTCGGATTGTTGGGCACGCTCTTCGGCACGCATTTCTTCGATGTCTTCATCGACGGTACTTGAGGCACGTAAACGTCTGAGTGCTGCGGCAGAAGGAGAGGGGAGATTAAAAAAGATTAATCGCAGTTGAATGAAACGACTTTAAAGCCACATGGCGTTCCTTACCTTTTCTAGCTTCTTCCTCCCATTGTTTGGTAATTAACAGATATCTAGGAGATTCTGGACATACCGGCAGTAAGATTAATTGTAAAACTGCAGGACACACGGCCAGGCCCAATAGAATAGGCCAGCCATCATTGGTTCCTAAAATTTGTTCAATACCCAATACTTGGGATAATAGTAAACCTACAGTCACAGCCAATTGATTAACAGTACCTAGGCCGCCTCTTAAATTCAGAGGGGCAATTTCGGAAATGTACATTGGCACTAATGATGTATTGAGACCTGTTAACGAATCGAATTTATGCAATTTCTTTTAATTTCAGATATAGATGTCGCCACTTACCGCAATTAACACCAATTATAAAACGGCCAAGGAATAACATTTCATAGGAATGACTAACTTTGGTAAAACCCATTAAACAGCCACCAGTTATACCCAAAACATTATTTAATAATAAACCACCCTTTCTGCAAAGAAAAAAAGAAATAGAAAAAAGAAATATTATTTTCAATCTTAACAAAAAAATAAAAAAATAACATTTAGAAAGTATCAGCCGGATTTGACGACAGACGTATACCCTCATAGATAAAAAAAACTGCAACAAAGTCAAATGGCATAATTTTTAAAATTTTTAATTAGCAATCAAATTTCTTAAATAGCATCAAATTTTAGAGTAAGTTTAGTTTTGTTCGAATTGGTCACCTTTGTCACGAATTATGGCCTTCAAACGGCCAATGAAACCGTCAAACGCTGTCCGAATGTTCCACTGCGGTATTTTGGCCCATTCCTGGCTAGCGCTTTCTTGAGGTGATCGACACTTTGGTATTTCTTAGTGCCAACCTTGATTTCTAAAATACTCCAGGCACAATAGTCCAACGGATTGGTATCCGGGGATTTTGGTGGCCACTGTGCGCTGGAAATGAAGAGAGGAACCTCATTTTGTAACCGCTTTTGGGTGCCGCCTGCTTAATGCGATGCTGCTGAGTCCTGTTGGAATGTCGAAGGTCTACAGCCAAATGTTTGCTTGCCTAAGGCTTTATATACACCCTCCAGAATATTTTGGCGATAATATTCGGCATTTATTCTGATGCCACGGTCGATTAATATGCGCGGAGAGCGACCATCAGCTGTTATGGCGGGCCACACCATCACCGTGTCCCGCGCTGGAGTTCTGGTGGTCAACCGAAGGCGCACATATTTAACTGACCTCTTTGGCATGTAAACACGATCATTTTGTTAGTTTACGGAGAAAACCAAATTCGGCAGTTCACCACTTTCGGCCAAGCGCAGCAACTCTTTACCTCTTTTGAGTCTATTTTCTTTCTGTTGCGGTATAAGTTCTTGCACTTTTTGCAATTTCAATAGCTTTACCCCGAGCTCAATTTACAATATTTTCCGAATGGAATATTGCGATATATTCAGCTCACGATCCATTTTTCGGCCTTGCCACTGCGACGAGGGTTTCGTTCAAGTCACTTCTTTACTTTTCGAACCATTTCTGCTGATATTGCTGTTTTTTCCCGTCCATTTCCTTGACATCGGGCTACGCTACCAGCATCATGCTAACGAGCGGTGGTACGAGACACAAAAGATTTATTCACATTTAAATGCTGGAGAGCTCTAACGATAGCCACTTGTGGTTTTCCAGCCAAATATGAAGGAATCACCCTATCACGCTTGAATTCCCCATCACGAATAACTTTTTTTCTGGAAAATTCTCACCAAAAAGCTTTTGTACGCTTGCAAACAATATAATGAGCTGTCACTGGAATAATTTTAACACCTGCCGGACGAGTGGCTTAGAAATGACAGCAGTCTGAAGTTGGTTGCAGTTTTATCATCTCACCCTTTAATTATTCAAGTTTTTGACTCAAACCAAAAAGGGTTTTAACCCAGAATTAGTGAAACGGTAAATTCATATCAGATCTTGTGTTGATAGAAATATAGGGATGTGTGAAAATTGGAGACAATCGGACTCACATTTCACCTTTTATGAGATATATAATTATTCAGAATATTGACCCGTTGTGGGGGAGGTACTACAAATAGTGAGGCGATACATCCCATCTTCATATCAGATCTTGTGTTAGTGAAAATGTTGACATATGTGAAGACTAGAATAAATTAGATGCTTATTTCGCAGTTTATGAGAGTTTGGGTTATTCCAAATTTTTCCCGTTATGAGGGAAATACCAGAAGCGCGGGTCCTACATATTCCATCTTCACACCAGATCTGGTATTAGTAAAAATATTGGGATGTGTGAAATTTTAAGAGAATTGAATACTCATTGAGCATTCAAATTTTTTAACCTTTTGTGGGGGAGGTACCATAAGGAGTAGCCCGATATATTTTATCTTCACACCACATCTTGTGTTTATAAAAGTACTGAGATGTGTGAAATTTGAAGACAATCGGACTCTGTTTGATCTTTCGTGGGGGAGGTTCTAGATGGAGTGAACACATATTGTTCTTTTCCACACCTCACATAGCACTGATAAAAATATTGGGATTTGCAAAGTTTACACCAAATCGAATGATCTTCTCTCTTGCAATGAGATAAATAATTTTCTTTCAAAATGTTGATTTTTTGTGGGGGAGGTACCAGAAGGAGTAGACTGATAACATCTATCTCCGAATTCGATCTAGGTTTGATGTGGAAAATCGGACAATAAAAGCAACTTTCATTTTGTTCACAAAAATACATTGACAGACAGAGGGAGGGATATCCACAAATCGACCCAGAAAGTGATTCTATGAGGACACTTAAAAGTAACTATGGACCTATCTTGTTTCCTTCTCCAAGTTTCAAACAAAACATGTACAAAAAAATAATACCCTGACCACAGTGTGGTGGTAGGTACATATAAAAAGGATTGATCAAAAAAAAAAAAAAAAAAAAAAAAAAAAAAAATACATTTTTAAGTTCTAATTTGGTACTTATGAATTTATCAACATATAAATTTAGATGCTGCAACGACCATACCAGATAATGCAATTTATGGTCTTTTAGGAGTCTACAACTTTCCTTTGCTGGCCGTGAGTACATGATATTAAACATACTAATTATAGCTATTGTAGCGATTGTTCATTCCATTCAGTATATATTACCTTCCGAAGCGATTCGCCATCCAACCGCCACTGAAACCGCCCAGCATACCACCGATGGCAAATATTGACACTGCCACCGAGTACAGCTGTTGTATAAATTCTTCGCTGATATCTTCGCCAAAACGATCTTTGTACACATCCTTCATAAAGTTTTCGATATTCTTTTCGGGCGCATTTATCACACCGGTATTGTAACCGAACTGTAACATACCCAATACCGCCGAAAATATTGAGTATGTTAGGAAAAAGGTAAGACCCTGTAAAGAAAAATGGAGAAAACAGATGAGGGCGCATTAGTTATATTCATATTTTCGGAGGGGGTGGGTAAAAAAACGAAGGCTCATTTTAAAACTCGTTTTAGTCATTTCTATTAATTCATTTGGATTTTTTTTTTTAAATATTAAAAATAAAATTGGGATTAATTGGAGGGAGTGTAAATTAAAAGTTCTTTTTTTTAATTTGAAATTAGATTAATGATAGGTTTTTTGAAAATGATTGTGATTTGGATTGTTGTTTGTGTAGCTATTTTAGCTGTTTGATAGTTAAAAAAATTGTTTAATAAATTAAAGTAAAAAATATATAAATAATAATAAATTACATAGGACTAAAAGAACCTCTGTTTCTGAAAAAGGAGATAAAATTAGAAGTCTTATATTTGGGTGTGTTGAGAATTTACATCCTGAAATAACTTATATAACTCTTCTGGCTTTGCTCATTCTTTTTTAATAATTACGATACGAACATCGGAAAAACAAAAGAATAGGAACAACTGAATTCTTCCTTATATTCTTCCAACGTTATATAGAGCCTATACATAATAGTGACCCTATCTTCCTCCAAATTTTAAGGTTAATTTAAGGTTGAGATTCTATCAGATCAGAATTCAAAAAGTCAAGTTATACATGATTTAGTTTGAAATTGTGGCCGTAACCTGGAAAATACCGAAAATTGGAAGATACCCCAATATGGGTCAAATAATAGGGGAAATATAGATTTTTTTGCGTGGAGAGATTATATCTGCTCAGAACTTGAAATGTCAAGTTGCATATTATTGCGTTTGAAATTGTTGTCAGGACATTCAAAATACCAAAAATCAGGAAGTAACATTATATAGGGGCCATAGCTAATCGTGAACCGATATGTTCCATTTTCAACGTCAAACGTACTAGGGGTAAAATAAATATCTCAGCAAAATTTCAAAGTGACAGAATGCTACACTCATTTAATTTTCAATTTTTGAGGATCTCACCGCACTGGGCGTGTCCAGCAATCTAATCTGAGTTTGTGAGTTGGAGACGACAATCGAAAAAAAAAAACAAATAATAAAGTTGTAAGTTCGGCCGGGCCGAACTTTGAATACTCTCCAGTAAAAATTTGTCAATTTTCAAAAAATAAAATCCGTTAAAAATTCTGTTAAAATCTTAAAAATACCGAATGTAGCCGTATATTAGGACCTATAAGTAATGTCTCTAAAATCCCGTAAGTAATGTCTCTAAAATCATCAAAATACCCAATATCGGGAGGTACCGTTATATGGGGGGCTATACGAAGACGTAGACCTACATGGCCCATTTTCAATACCAAATGTCCTGCAGACATAATAAACATTTGAGTAAAATTGTATCAACCTACTTCATTTCGTTCGGAAGCTAGAATGATTTCCACAGACGGACAGACGGACTGACTGACGGACGGACCCTCCACACTATGGTGAAGGGTATAATAAAATACGAAAAGTTGTTGATGTGAATGTACGACTTGAAATCGTTATATTGGGGCTATACGAAAACTTGGACCGGCATGGCCCATTTACGAACTTAAACTACTGGCAAAATACACATGTGTGCAAAATTGTAGCCTTCTCTCTCAATTCGTTCGAAAGATAGCGTGATAACAACAGACAGACAAACGGATAGACCGACAGACACACACACAGACATATGGACATCACTAAGTCGCCTTAGAATTTTTCGCTGATCCAGAATATATATACTTTGTAGGGTCTAACATGACTACTTCGAGGAGTTACTGACGATCTCGATAAAGTTTGGCAGAGGTATTTCCGAGCTCTATAAAATGTGGTACCAAATATCATTCTTGTCATGTCATTTGGACTGATATTGGGCTTATGGTGCACAATTAACCCGAAATCGGTTGAATATATATATGGGAACTATATCCAAATCTGAAAAGATCTTGATAAAATTTGGTAGAGGTATTTTCGACCTGTATCTGATATCTGGTACCAAATATTATTCTTGTGGGGTGCATATTACAAATGTGGGGGAGTAAAACACCACATCGTATAAAACGTACATATGGGAGCTTTAGCTATATCTGAACCGATTCTCTCCAAATTTAAGGTACTGAATTCGGTCTGATGTACCAAATTTCAGGTCATTTGGTTTGATATTAAACATCTGATATATATGAGAGCAATATCTAAATTTGAACCGATTCTCACCAATTTCAATAGGGTTCGTCCTTGGGCCAAACAAATATTGTTTGGACAATATTATCTCTTCACCCGATAAGAAATGCGACCTGAATTTTGTTCAGAAATATATGGCCAGACGGACAAACAGACTGGCATGTATAAATCGACTCAGAAAGTGATTCTATGCAGATCATCAAAAGTAACTAATAGAAAATCAATATTTGATTTCTTTTAACTAATATTGGAGTAAAAACTATGCAAAAATGATTATTCCTGGGTTCGAAAAAAGTAAATATGAGAAATATTCATTGCAACTAGAAATTTCCCTGTTCGTGTTTTGAAAAAAAAATCCAAAACCTCTAGGACTAAAATCCCTTGATTATTGGAAAGGGCATAGATTTTTAGACTTTTGTATGCTATTTTTTTTTTTTTTTGGAAAATAAACTTACAAAAAACTTAAAGATAATTAAAAACAATGAAAAAAGGTAAAAAAATATTTATTTTTATTTATTTATATAAAATAAAATATTACGAAAATAACATATTACTAAAATATATTAAAATAAAGCTAAAAATAAAAGCTTAATTAAACCAAATGAACGGTGTTTTTTGCCAATATTTTTGTTTGTAAATGAAACCATGCCATCATAACAACCATGATATTAAAATATGTTAGAAAGTTTCAGCCAGTGTTCCAACAGATCTACACATTCCATCTTTATACCCGATGTAACTGATGTTTATGGAAATAATGAAGAAAACTGGGGAATAATCTTGAATTTTATTTGAGTTTTTAAAATGTTTGATCCTCTGGCGAAGAGGTAAAAGAAGTAATGGAGCAATGCCCCACTATTTCTTCAGTCCACCTTAAAATTTTAGATTCTGAAAATTCCCACTTTTTTTAAGTCACCGTACTAAATTTTCAGTCTCTCAAGGTTTCATATATTACTCAAGTTTTTCTTTTTCGGAAATCTTTAGCTGTTACACCAAAAAGTCTTCAAAATCTTTTGATTTGTCGTTTCCTGGGGAAGATATTTGTGACACCATTGCTCAATAGACCCACATCCAATGTTTCTATCCTAATCAATTTAAACATCTCCATATGTAAACCCTACGTAGAAACTATCAAGGACTTCAAAATCAAATCTCATAATTTCACCTCTATCCCATCAGCCAATACCTAATTTCGTAACTTTATGTACGCATATCCAAAAGCAGCGCATTTTCTCAACAAGAGAGATCAACAGTGCCATCCACATCAAATTTCAAGATTTCAGCTCTAAGCCTTCACGAAATGCAAAATTAGAACTATTTAGTACTTTTCGTATGTATATAGTACACATTTCCAAAACAACATCCATATCTCAATTCCAGATGCCAACCGTGACATGTATACCAAATTTCAGGACTTCAGCTCTATCCTCTAGTCTCTGTTCAGGTTACAAATAAATGGTGACTCTAATACGAAGTTTCACGCGCTATCTGTTCACCAAATACCAAATTGTACCAAATGTAGTACTTTTCGTACAATTATAGTACACATTTCCAAAACTACCTCAGAGAGCTCATTATCAAATTTAAGGATTCCAGCCCTATCCCTTTACCCAATACCAAATTTAGTACCTTTCGTACAAATGTTGGGCCGATTTTCAAACCATCGCCACATTCCAAACACAGTTACCACCAGAAATCTAAACATCAAGTTTCAGAATTATATCTCTATACCTTCACCTAATACCAAATATAGTACCATTTAGTACTTTATGTATAATTCGTATAAGAATGTGTACCATTCTCAATTCCAGATACCAACAGAGAACTCAATATCAATTTTGAGGCTTCCAGTCCTATCCCTTCGCCCAATACAAAATTTTGTACCATTTATGACTTTTCCTACTGACTTTTCCAAACCACCTCCCAATTCTAAAACACAGACACCATCAATAATCTAAATATAAATACCACACATTTCCGTAACTACCTCATATTAGTGACCACAATACCGATTTTAAGATTTTCAACACTATTCCTTTAACCAATACCAAATTGGACCAAATTTAGCACTATTTAGTACTTTTCGTGCATTTTTAATAAACATTTCCAAAACCACAGCTTTACCACAAATCTATCACAAACAGGGACCCCAATAAAAAATTCCAGCCTACTCCGTTGACTCTAAATCATACTCCAAATTTAGTCGCACACTTAGTACACATTTTTAAAACCACTTTTATATATCAAAATTAGTTTCCATTTCCAACTTTGATTCATATAATACAAAATGGCACCATTTTAGAAATTTAGTACCCTTTTAAAACTTTTCCTAACCTTTGAATTTCGAGACTTCCAAAACCCTTTGGTACATCTATCCTGCACTCCATCAGTGACTCTCATTCCAAAATTCATAGCTCATTCCGTTTGTCCAATACAAAGTATTAAATTTCTAGTAAATTTTAGTACTTTCCGAAATCTTATCACACGCCTACGCATCATGGCTGACCAATACAAATTATTATATCTTTAGTATTTTTCGTACCCTTTTAGTACGAATTTCCAAAAACCCAAAATTATCCCACGCCTACGCATTAAGATTGACCTTCGTGCAATATTTCAAAATTCTTGCTTCAGCCGTTTCGCTTTGGGCGTTGATTCTCGGTCAGGCAGTCAGTGAAGGTATAAAAAGTTTTTTAAGGCAGCGGCATTCACCGCCATTTTTGATTGCTTTCCCTTGAATAAGTCTTCAACTTTAATGGGATTTTTTAAATAAGAGAAAATTTTTTGTAAATTTTTGCATATTCTGAAACAGGCTTTCTTAACTCTATCATGGTTGTTTTCCGGCATAGCTCCTTTGTTTTACAATATGTTGTTTTCTTTTGTCATTGGATTTGTTGTGGGATATGTCACTTTGTTACTTTGGAGATTTCTTTCTTGTATAGAAAAATATAAATATATTGAGATATATATATTTTTTCTTGGTATGAGTTTCAAAATGATTGGTATTTGAGATTGTTTGCAGTTTTGCATCTTAAATATTATAATTACACAACATGGCAAATAATTTAAGCTACAAACTTGTTCTAAAAGTCTTAGCTTCCTTCTGTGCGTGTGCTCTTCCAATCTGTCAACATATTCGCGTAGCTCCTCGATTTCCTCTTTGACTTGTTGTACTGTGTCCAGTTCGTGTTTGATCGCAACCATGTCACGCTTAACCTGCAAAGGAAAATTCGGAAATGGAAATGTAAGAAATGCAAAATGTCTTGGGGAGTTCTGTTTTCCGCGAGCCCACTTACCTCGGACACTTCACTTTGACAACTTTCCACGGATTTGGTTAATTCCTGTAGCTGTGTTCGTATTTCACACAAGGCGACTGTTGTCTCCAAGTGACGATCGCCTCTCTGAAGCTCATCTAATTTAGCCGAAAGATTCATGCTCATCACGCTAACTTGCTTTTGCAAACTGTGTTTGAATTTATTTTTATTTTTTAATTTTTTTTTGTTTAATGAAAAAGAGTTAGAACAAGGAAATCGATTGTATGTTAATTAGTTATTACACATGTAAAGGTATTTCAGTTTTTTTTTCTTATTCAAGAGTCATACATGTTAGGTTTACACCTATGAGTGAGAATAACAAAATGCTGAGATGTTACGAGTGCACATGAAAAGGAAACACTAAGAAACAATATAAACAACAATTAAAAATAATAATTTATATGAATCAAATTAGCGCCACGATAGTGAGTGATTGTATTAAATAAGTGGAAAATAAAAAAAAAAAAAAAAACAATAACATTGTTTAGTAACTAGTTTTCAGGTAGATTATAGGAAAAAATTGCAAGATGATATAAAATTCGAAATAAGTAAATAAAACTACAGTCATTTATAAGTGTTGATCCAAAAATATAGAACTAAGGAACAGAAGGGAAACCGATATCTCCCCTCAAAATAAAAATATGGTAAATTATTTTTTAGTACATTTACAGAGTACCAGATAAAATAATCCCTACAAAAATCTCTAATGTAAACATACCATTAGCTTTAAAATTGAATCAAATTTTCTCAAAATACCACAGGTGTCGCACAGTGTTATTTTAAAACAAGTAAAAAACTGTAAGTTCGACCGGGCCGAACTTTGCATACCCTCCACTATTTCGAAGGATTTTAGCAAATTTCATATTAGGTTCTATACTACGACGTGGAGCTGCATAGGCAACTTTTATCATGAGCCATTACAATATTCAAATGCCAAATTTGAAAAAAATCGGTGAATAATGTTGCCAAAATTATCAAAATACTGAATATCGGGAGGTACCGTTATATGGAGGATATACAAAGACGTGGACCTGCACAGACAATTTTCTGTCATAGGCTGTAGAATCCATTACGAACTTCAAATACCAAATTTGAAACAATTCCGGTGAGTAATGTCGCTAAAATCATCAAAATACCGAATATAGGGAGGTACCATTATATAAGGGCTACATGAAGACGTGGACCTGCACAGACAATTGTCTGTCTTAGGCTGTAGTATCCATTTCGAACATCAAATACCAAATTTGAAAGAATTCCGGTGAATAATGTCGCTAAAATCAACAAAGTAGCGAATGTCGGAAGGTATATGGGGGCTATACGAAGAGGTGGAACTACATGGCTTATTTTCTGTCTTAGGCTGAAGTATCCATTACGAACTTCAAATACCAAATTTGAAACAATGCCGGTGTCACAATACCGAATATCGGGACGTAACGTTATATAAGGGCTATACCAAAATCTGGACCTACATGGCCCATTTTTAATACCAAAAGTCCTGCAGACAAAATAGGCATTTGAGTAAAATTTTATTAACCTACTTCACTTCGTTCGGATGCTAGAGTGATTTCCACAGGCGAACAGACGGACGGACATCGCTAAATCGAAATAGAATTTTATGCTGATCAAGAATATATATACTTAGTGGGGTCTAAAATGTATTTCGTGGTGTTACAAACGGAATGACAAACTTATGATACCCAAAAAAGTTTATATTGGGAATTTATGTGAAGTAGATTAATCGATGATATGATGAACCTTATTTGAATGCGTATCATGGCTTTAGAGTAGTCACAATTTGGGAACTATATCCAACTTTGAATCGATTTTAAACAAATTAACTAAGAGGCCTTTGTACCTCTAGTACCAAAAAAACATTGCTGTATAGTGCATAATATGACTTCGATAAGAATTATATTTAAAACTAGTAAAGAAAGTCTTAAATTCGGGCGGGGCCGACTTTATGATACCCTAATTATAATTTAAAGTTCAAAGGACTAAAAATTCGGAAGCATTTGTATCTTTTAAATTAGGACTTGTATTGCCCATTTGATATATATGGGAGCTATATCCAAATCTGAACCGATCTCGATAAAATTTGGCAAAGATATTTCTGAGCTGTATTTAATATATTTCCCTGAATATCGTTGTTATGGAGTGCACATTACGGCTGTCGGTAACAAATATAACAAATCGGATGGACAATACATATGGGAGCTATAGCTATATATGAACCGATCTTCACCAAATTTGATATAATAGATTCTAGACTCTATTCGGTCGTATGTGCCAAGTTCCATCCCATTTGGGCAAGTATTACACGTTTGGTGCACAATAAAAAGCAACTCAGACAAAGATATATATGTGAGCTATATCCAAATCTGAACCGATAAAATATAACGGAGGTATTTCTGAGCTGTATTTGATATATTATCCCAAATATCGTTGTTACAGAGTGCATATTACAGAAATAAAAAATTGGATGAACAATATATATGGGAGCTATAGCTATATCGAAACCGATTACAATCAAATTTGACATACTTATTTCCAGGCTTAATTTGGTCGTATGTGCAAAATTCCATACTATTTGGGCTGATATTACTCCTTTGGTGCATAATAAAAAGCAAATCGGACGAAGATATATATCTAAATTTTGACCGATTACCTCCAATTTCAAATGGGTTCGTCCTTGGGTCAAACAAATGACTTGTGCAGAATTTCATCTAGATTGGGCAATAACTGCGACCTGTATTTTGTTTACAAGAATACATGGATAGACAGACGGACGGACATGCATAAATCGGCATAGAATTCTAGGCTGATGAAGATTAAATATATACTTTGTTGGGTCTGACATGAGTATTTCGAGGCATTACTGTCTGTCAGTCCGTGTATCCGTTTGTCTGTTCTAGTCACGCTATCTTGCGAACGAATTGAGATAGAAGACTAAAACTTTGCACACATGTGAATTTTGCCAGTAGGAAGGTTAGTTCGTAAATGGGTCATGGGTCAATCCATGTTTTCGTACAGCTCCCATATAACGGTACCTCTCAATATTCGGTATTTGATGATTTTAGCGACATTATAGAAAGGAATCTTATCAAATTTCGTATTAGCAGATCTTAAGAGGTACAACCTACGACAAAAAATTACTTATGCAGATCCACGTCTTTGTATAAACCTTATGTAATGGTACCTACCAATATTTGGTATTTATATGGTGTTACCGGTATTGTTTCAAATTTCGTATTTAAAGTTCGTAATGGGTACTACAGCCTCTGACATAAAATTGCGTATGCAGGTCCACGTCTTCGTAGAGTCAGCATATAACGATACCTCCCGATATTCGGTATTTTGATGATTTTAGCGACTTTATTCACCGGATTTGTTTCAAATTTGGTACTTGAAGTTCGTAATGGATAATATAGCCTACGACAGAGAATTGTCTGTGCAGGTCCACGTTTTGACTTAGCCCTTATAATGGTACCTCCCTATATTTGGTATTTTGATGATTTTAGCGACATTATTTACCGATTTTTCTTAAATTTCGCATTTGAATATTGTATAGTCGTATAGACCGTAATATAATTTGGTAATTTTAAGAATTTAACAGATTTTTTAATGGATTTCATATTTGAATTGCCAAATTCGTTCGAAATGGTGGACGGTATTCAAAGTTTCTACTTGTTGTGTTTGTTTTTGACATGGTTGTATTTATAAAAAATACCATGTTGATCTGGTTCTAAAATTCGAAAGTACCCTAAAAGTAGATTATTTCTAAGTCCTTTCATTTCAATATTTTCATAGGACCACTTTGGCAATAACATTTCGCTTCAATGCAGTTGTCACAAAAAAGATAAACCTCAGGTGCATTAAAGTAATGAACCCGAAGAAATGCATAGGTATGAATATTTGTAGCTATGTGTGTATGTATGTGCAAATTGTAAAGGTGAAAATGGGTTACATTTTTTTTGTAAAACAAGAAAGTATTGTTTTAATTGAGAATGATTTTCACTTCTTGGAATTAATATCTGAGATTGCACTCAGACAAGATGCATTCAAACACATATACGTACGTACGTAGAAAAACACACACACACACATCGATTACAGACAATAGACAAAGGCAGCAGAAATTTTCCTAAAAGCCACAATCTGTTGAGCAAGTGAAGTCAAAGGAAGAACACTTCAATTGTTTGGAAGAAAAAAGGAAAATAAAAAACCCCCAAGTCTCTATATTTTGTATTTACCAAAAACTAGGTTGCTCCAGAAGAATTGAACACACATACGTTCGTATGTACTTATATGTGTCCATATAACCACAGTTTCCGGCAAACACATACATGTATACAAATGTATTACGAAAGTAACGATTACTCTTGCAAGTTGATCTAAATAGTTGGAAGTGTTGCTGGGGCCAGTTTGTGAAAAGTGAAAGTTATATCGACCGAGAATCAAGTGTCATGAAAAGTTATTGTTGGAGTGGAGTTCACAGTATCGTCATCAATGGCCAGAAGAAAGGGACATCACTGTTCTAAAGCGAGGGCCACAACTTCTATGTCGGGTCTGATATAATTATCGATTATTGGAAATTCGAGATTCAGGGGGCAAGTAAAGTATGATGTGGTAGAATATTGAATTTTGGGGTGGAATTTTGGGACTTAATTTTTTAAGGGTGCAAAAAGTATCATCAGACGCAAAACGATACAACCTTGTTTCGATAAGAGCTAGAAATTTAAATTATGAAAACGTAACGGTAAATTACTAAATTGTGGTGAAAAAGTGGTATAAAATTCTTATTTCGCCATAGATAAAAGATACAACTTTGAAATTTTGAAATTGATTGGAACTTAGGGAAGAATTTTGGAAACATCTGTGTTTGGAGTTTGAAGTTCTGATATCCGTTCTTTAACATCACAGCATAATTTCTGGGCGATCTGTACAAGTTATAATTTTAAAGTTTTCGAACGAAGGTGTAGATAAGACGGTATAAATTAGCAAACGAAAGCCAGTAAGGAAAGGTCAAAAGTTGAGCGGAGCCGACTATATTATACCGACTATATAATGGTATACCATTATGCGTATTCAGTAGAGCCCCCGTAACAAAAAGGTGTATATTGGGAATTTATGTGAAGTAGATCATACCAA